CTGGATCTCCTCTGCAGAGAGGCACAGTGGCCACTTTGAGCAACAAAAGTTCAGGTACCAGGCCATTTGCAGTGTTTAGGCTCAGCACTTTAGGAACAGCTCGGAAAACTCTGATTCTGTACAATTCGCGCACCAAGAGCGTAGTCCCAGACCTGTTACATGGTTAATTGTGTCCTGTCCAGAAGAGGGATACCAAATGAATCAAAGTTACCCTAATCAAAGTGAGCTGATCTAAAACTTGGTCTCAGCAGGGCCTTCTCTTCCACCTGCTTTCGTTGTCCTACTGACTCCAAAGATTTCTTGCATCTCTTCCCAACGTGGTGTTATTGCTGGATAGAGCAGGGAGAAGAAAGGAGACACTTTGAGTCAGCAGCACCAGGACAACTGTACTGGGAGTGCTCCCAGCATTCCCCAGATACCCTCAGGATGCTGCTACAGTCCAGAAGGCAGTGACAGGTTCTCCAGGCTGTTACCTACTGTTAACACCACCTTCTACCTCCCACTAAGATCAGCACCCAAAATCAACCCTCAGCTCCTTGAAATTTTGCCCAGGACTTTTCTCTGCCAAAAGAGGCATCTGCACTGGGACATGCTGGCCCTGGCAAAGAAGGTGCTTCCTCACAAGCCTCAAGACTGCTGTAAATAAGCCAGGGACTCCTCTCCATCACTGTAAGAGCAGAGCTTGGCATCTTCTGCTGAGGAGCAGCAGCCTTGCCTATCCCCTTCCCACCTCATAGCACCACCATCTGCACTGGGCAAGGAAGAGATGAGAGAGGAGTAAAAAAGGGACACAAACAGCATCTCTCCTGGAAGACAAGCGTGAAGCTGCAGCTCTGAAGAGCAAAGCTGCTTTGCTGAGTCATGGGTGAAAGCTCCGGAAAGATGCTGGGAGGCATCTGAGCATTTGCCCAGAGTCCTTCAACATGAACAGGAAGGACGTGGGGAGCAGCTGCACAGCTCACGCTGCTCCTAGATGGGAATGACAATTTCCACATGTTTTGGTATGAAAGCTACTCAGCAAGGCACCCCAACAGACTGCTCACCCTGTCAACGGTGAGGGTGCTCCCTGGCTGACGGCCCAAGCTGGTAAGACCTCTGCTGTTAGAAGAAACTCTGGGTTGTGAAGGCAGCGGGAGGAGGAAGAGGAATGCTAGCCTGGCCCAGCTGCTTGCTCCCACCCTCGTTGCCCACGGCTACCTCACCTTGGCCTTGTTCTGGACAGGCAGATACAGCTTGAACTCAGCTGGGAGCTCATCCTCTGAGTAGAGCCGGTCAGAGAAGTACACCCGTCGGATGCGACAGTTGGCGTGGATCTGAGAGTCAAAACAAAGAGTCAGTCGTTTTCCATGTACTCTTTCTACATCTGGCTTCACTGTCACACAGCAGCCTGGATTCCTTGGCTCAGCAGCTAGAGAAGAGACCTCGCAGCTTCTCTCCAAATCTGATGGAGCATCAAAGAAGAAACCTTGGCCCATGCCCTCTGCTTTGCATTAGATGCTCTCTCCAGTGATGCAAGCTGGCTCAAGACATCTGGCCAAGCTCTGGCATCTCCACAAATTGAGATCTGCCTTAGTTGCTTTGCTGTGAACCCACCTCTCCTTCTTCACTGGTATCAGCATTCACCAGAACACTCTCAGCCTTAGCTTGCTGTACTTTTAACACTCCCTTTTCAGGGCCTCCCTGAGGTCAGGAATGAGGCTGGCCAGTCTGTGCTGCCTTCACTATCAGCTGGCAGCAAAGGAGTCGCTCCTGTCCCCCTCATGGCTATGTGAGAAGCCAGACATTTCCCAGTTGACTGCCCGCTAACCTCAGGACAAGTCCACAAGGAACTGCAGCAGTTCCATCACACCAAGAAGCAAGAGTGCTCAGCACACAGGCATTCCTCAAAATAACATGTGCTACTGGACACAGCAAACATGAACCCCTAGCACATGGATAGCAGGAACAAACACTGTGTCAGCTCTGGTCCAAGGAGCTGGGTGAGGGCAGGGTCACTCCACCCGCACTAGGAAACAAGCTTGACCAGGGATATGTATGGACCATAACACCTTGGGTCTTTACCAGCCAGGCTCCCACCCGTCTGATCACTGCCTGGCATATATAGACAGTAAGGCAGCACATGGCTAATTCCCAGCAGACCTCAGCCAGCAGGAAGAGTGGAAGCCACAGGGAACTTCAGGTGGACTGTAACTCCAACCCTAACCAATAGCCAGCAAGAGAAACAGGATGGAAATGGGCTCCTTCATCTCAGTTTAGTCCAGTGAAGTGAAGCAGCACCAAGACCTCTGCTGCCCCAGTCATGCCCTTGCTCCCCTCCTCCAGTGCTCCACAAAGAGCAGGACTGGCAAAGGAGCCAGTCAGGGCTAAACCTGGATTCCCAATCTACAGCAAGGCTGTCCCAGCCACTGGTTTCTGTGGGCAGGACATGCCTGCTTCTCACCTGGACTCTCAGGGTTTCGATGTAATTTGTCCCATAAGCCCGCCGTGTGAAGTCCGACAGGTTGAACTGGATTTGGTTCCAGCCATCGTCCAGTCGCATGGGCATGGTGCAGATGAAGGGCTTCACCCGGGTCGTGCTCTGGTAGTTACTCGCCCGGAAACGCCGGCGTACGTTCTTATCATCCAGCACCTGGGGCAAGGAAGACAGGCTGCTGACCCAGGCCTCAGAGCCCCTGGCTCCTCAGACAGCAGCTATTCTACACTCAGGCTCTACCCATCTCTGAGAGGGCTCTCCCACTCCCACCCCTCCATTTCACACCAAAAGTATTTTTAACACAGGAAACGGATGCATTTTCAGGAATAGCCATGATGTGCTTGTAAGCTGACTGATGCCCCTGTAGAAGACCTGACACATCACACGGCCAAGGAAGTAAAATTGTCTTGGGGACAAGTTCCAGCGTAAGACTGTGGGCTCCCTGGCACCTTTCTCACCAGTCCCTGGAGGGGTCTCCCCACTGCTCACTTCTCACCTGCACTTCAAAAGTGAAATATTTCTTCAGGTTCTTGATGATCATCACTAGGAAAGGCAGTTTGATGCCCAGGGTCTTCTTTGGGTCTGCAGGGCATGTGATGTACGTGGTACTGAGAGAGACAGAAAAATGCTTTAGAATCTCACATGGCACAGAGTGCACAGCCCGAGTCCCAGGTGTCCCCCTTGAGCTAGCAGTCTTGGAGGACAAGCAGAAAGAGATAGCTGTGATCATAAGATCTCAACAACAACCAGGGCCTCCTGTAACAGGAGGAAAGTTTCAGAGGTAGCTGCACTGAGAAGATAAAAGGCCCAAAGAACGCATTTCAAATCCCCCTTTTCTCACACAGGACATGAAACACCTTCCCAGACAGCTTCGCTTCCTCAGTTTCAAGGCCATGCCAGCACTGTTTCTTACACAACCTCCTCTTACCCTTGATTGAACAGGTAGCGCTCTCCAGAGCACAGGAGAGGCCCTGTGTGCTCTACATGGCTGGGAAAAGAGAGGTCATGAGCCCTAGAAGTACACGTCACGCCTGGCAAGTTCAGTATCAACACATCTTGGGAGGAAGAGAAGCATTGGCTCAGTCTGTCTGCAGGAGAGGAGTCTCCGCTGCCCTTATAAGGAGTGCCCTGCTCTGAATCACCCCTGGAGAAGCCTTGGAGACTCTGAACCCGCTCATGGAGCTGGCGTCTCTCTCCCTGGTCGATGGAGACAAGGTTGCTAAGTGAAGCACCAAAAGCAATTTCCCTCATAAATCTCTCTTTGATCTTCCTGCTGTCGGGAGAGCGGCTGTCATGTGGGGAGAGCAGCAGAGCAGGCCTAAATCAATAAAAGATGCAGAAGGCAGAGTGCTGCTTTCTCAGTAACTGGCAGCACTGACTGGGGACCAGGTATCAAGTACAGCTTTTTTTCCCCCCAAGTGATGGAAAAATAATGGGGCTTTATTTTTATTTTTTAATCTCTTAGCCTCACTGAGGATGACAGAGAGCTCTACAAGCGTGTCCAGGGAAAGGCATGGTACAGTGCCCCAGGGGGGTAACGGTGATCTGACCCAGATCATATTCTTCAATTTACTGACAAAGACATTGGAGTAGACTCTGAAGGAGTCATCTGCTGGGCACTGACATCTTTCACTCTGCTCCAGGGCACACTAGGGTGGAAGAAGCTGCCTTCTCCTACCTGACATTAGTTCCTTCAATCTCCAGCACCAGTGACTGAATGTCATTGTCGGTGATTCGCTTGATGTGGCCATTGCGCACCTGGAAGAAAGTGAGGCAGACAGCACAGATGTTAGTGGAGAGGGAAACAAGAGGTGCCCACAGCTCCATTGAGAGGGGTGAAAAGGTCCCAGGAGGACCCATCTACGTTCACTTGGCTCCTGTTGTCCCAGACATTGCTGTTTCCAAGGCTTTGATCACTGCCCCAGAGTGCCAGGACTCCAAGCAAGAGTTTATGGCCCAGCATGCTGCACGGACCCTGAGCGCAAGGCTTCAATCTATCAAAATATGCGGCAGTGAACACAAGTGACTCAAGCCTTATGTTACAGGCCCAAATAAACAAACATAAAAGTGTCAGAGCAAGATCAAACTAGATAAGGGATACAAACAAGTACAAGCAATGCAGTGCAAGCAAAAGGATCCACCAGCCAGCCAGCAGTCACCGAAGGTCTCAGTCTCTACTGCTCGGCATGTCTGACTGTCTCTGTGGACAAGCAGGGTCAGATGAGAGCTTGGTTAAAATTCTTCATAATTACAGCAAGCACAGAGCCATCGTCTGCTCTGCTGAGGGGCACAGGGATTTGGCTACTTGGATGCAGCCAGCTCCCCACAGAGCTCAGGGAGGCCAGGGCTGGAACCAGGAGCCAACACAAATTCATTTTTCTCCACAAGGAACATGGCTGAATCTCAGGGTCTGAGGATTTATTTTTTTAATGAAGCAGCTCACTTCCCATCCAATTTATCTCCATTTAAAAGGTGCTTTTGCTAATTAAACCCTCTGCTCTTCCCCAGTGCTAGATCAGCGAATTGCAGTGCTCCTTCCGGCTCCATGAATTAATTTCTTTAGCACCTATCACCACTGCTATTATGTAGGATACATTAAGCTTCTAACGGGGTGGTTCCAGTCATGAGCTACACAATGATTTACAGGTTTAGCAATTAATCTTCAAAGCTAATTTCTTCAGAGGAGCTGCCTAAGTGGTGTTGCATACTTTTGCTGGAAGAACGGGATAAGCTCTGCGAGCAGCCCAACCCCTTGGCCTCTCTACACCATGCAGTTTCAAGAAATCTCAGCCTGTATCACCCAGCCGTGGCTGATAAGAACGAGAGTGCAGCTCACCCTGCCAGGCCGCTCTCAACTCAGCTTTAAGCCCACACAGATACTTCCAGAAAACATTAAACTCAGAGAGATGATCCTTACAGGATAACTGTATCTCTCCTTCGCATCAAATGCAACTCCCATGGATTTAGAGGTCTGTTCAGGAGAAATCAAATGCATGAGGTCTGGAGGAGTTGCTCCCCCACCTTTTTTTTTTGGTTGTTTCTGTTTAAATCACCAGCCCAGCAGAAACCCCATGTGCCTCCCTGTATTCGAACCAGTGACTGGCATATGGGAATTAAATAATCCTGAAAGCCACAGGGATACAGCATCTGGACTTAACACTGGGAAAAAACCCTGCCTAAGCAAGTGACAGGAGTGCACAACAAAGCCTGCCTCCATGCCACATAAGACAGCTTTCACCAAGGGTAGCTTACGGCTCCATAGAGGCAAAAAGGTTCAGGCTTGGGCTTCTCTGGAGAGGACAGCAACAGAGAAAACGGCTAAAGATGCTTTAAAGCCATTAGTCAGCAGTGCTTCTATCTGCAACCAGGTCCCCTTCCTTAGCTTGGGAAGGCTTTCTTTACTCAGATTACAATGACGATGGGAAGAAGCAACTCTTCTTCCTCAGCATTGACAGATGCAGGATGAAAGACATCGGAAAAGGGAAAAGTACAAAACAGGGCCAGACCACAGCAGAGCCCTTCCTCCCAGTCCCACCTAGCTCAGTACCAGTTTTGTGAGCTGCACTACTTCCCAGCTGCAGGGAGTCAGCGGCCAGGTCACACAGGAGCCCTCCTGCTCAAAAGCCAGCCTGTCTGTATGTACCTGCAGCCAGCGCCGGCAGGACAGACACACAGACATGTGCAGCATGCCAGTTAGATCAGCAGTCCAAGCAGCATCTCTCTGTTGGGACGGTAAGGCTGAAGGGCATCACAAGTGCTCACCACCAAGGGGGGCTCAAAACACTCCTCTCCAGGACTCGGTGGTGCCCAACGTCCCAGCTGAGCCCCGCAGCTTGCTCCAGAGCCCGGCTTCCCAACGAGGCCAAGCTCACCTCCTGCCTGCCACAGGGACCACCTCCCTGACAGAGGACACATTTTGGTCACAGCCAGAGCGCTTCTCTTCCTCCACCAGCTTTGAGGGTCCCTTCCCAACAGGCACGCACAGATCAAGAGGTGACCTCAGGCTCCATCAGGCACAGCCACTGGCTCTGTGCAGTGCAGGGATGGTTCTGCTGTGCTCACAGCAGCTTCTCAGCAAGAGCTCCCAAACTTCAGGGCCTCTTCCCTACTGCATGGAAGCTCAGAAAGGTAAGATTTCAGAAAATTTTAGAAATCTAAACAAAACACTCCACATTTCTACTCGGCCAATATTTTCTAGCCATCTTAAGCCCAAGAAAGTGGATTTTTGAAGCTGGAAAAAAGGGTAATAGTCTTCTTAAAAAACAGAAGTTCTTCAAATGCCTAATATCTTCTGAATCAGTGTAACTGGGAGATTGCCTACTGCCTAAAACCAGACTGAAAAAGCTTTTTTTTTTGCAGACACAAGCCTCAAATCTCACTGGTTTGGAAGGAGCTGCAACTTCACAGCCAGTTGTGTCTGAACACATAGATTTCTTGAGGCTGCTGTTGTTGCTAGCAACACCATTCGAATGTAACAAAGACCAGAGAAAAAGCAGCAAGGAGCAACCCTCCCCAGGCCAAACGCCCACCCAACAATGGGCAGGACGCCACGGTCCGAGGCCGACCTCTGGAGGCTCAACCACGCATCGTTGCGGGCCACCCCGTCGTGAGGTGACGACCTTGTGCCAACAACAGCAAGCTGAAACACGGCACCATCGCCCAGGCGACCGCAGGCATGGGCACACCTTCACCTTGGGACTTCTCAAAGCCAGCAGTGGGGCCAGAACAGGCACAAGGCCCTGGTGCCACCTCCCTCCCTCAGGAGAGGGAGAGGGGACAAAACAAAAGGCAAAAGCAGGAGCTGCCTTGCTGTGCTGTAGCACCTGGTGCACACAGGTCTGGGGAGGAGGAACAAGCAGCACAGGCTGCTATATTGGAGATGCAGAGGTCTGGGGCAAACCAGACAAGGACATGGTAAGAGAGAACTAAGAAGTCTGCAAGAGGGGACACACCACTGTGTTCGCAGGTCCTGGCCTTGATCCTGGCCACACTCATCAGGGAAATCGCTGCCAGCATCCTGGTGGCAGAGCAGGTGTTTGGCATTCAGACGGGTATTGAACACCCGCTGACCTTGTGTCCTCCCAACAGCATTTCAGATTGCTAATGATATTCCACGCTCACGCACCAGCAGACAGAATATGGAGAAATTAGTGAGAGGATCGATAGGTTTGACAAGTTTCATTGACTCGTTCCCGTATGCTCTGCGGAAACGCGTCAGCAGGTCTCCTGGAGACCAGACAGCGTGTCTCCACACGGCAGCGGGGGGACCATAGCGGCAGGACACTGCAGGAATAAACAGAGGACTCTGAACAACAAAGTGCTGTGAGGCAAACAGAAAACACCTTGCAAACAGGTCTCCGAACCAGGCACACAGCGCTGGCAGGCGGGAGAAGAGAGCACAGCCCAACATCTCTGCAGCTGAGGGTGAAGGAGGAACTGCTGCCTGCAGGGATGGTAAGAGTCACTGCACTATTCCCAAGGCCTGAACACTTCAGTCCTGCCAGAGTCCCAGGGGGCAGGATGCTGGTGGCCAGGACAGACCACGCTCGGCAGGGTTTGCTGCCAAGGCCTGCCCAAAGCTTCCCACAGCCCCTGAGGGAGAAGGGAAGGACGAGATCCTGCTGCTTAGAGGGAGGTTTCAAATGCTCAAAACAAGGAAAGGCTTCCATTGCCCCATTTCTACACCTGTATCAGATGAAAAAGCCTCTGCTTCCAACTGTCTCCATCAGCACAAGCAGTGCACATTTTACTAGGGCCCAAGAAACGGTTTTCTCTATGTCACAAAAGCTTGATTCCCTAGGAGTCAAAATAAAAAATAAAAATAAAATCCCCATCTGCTGGTACTTTTTGCAAAGATAAGAGAGTCCACATTAGGACAGCTACAAGTCCAGTAATCAGGGCATTCACACAGGACATGGGAGAACATAAAATCTCTCATTTTCACTTCTCACCAAAACTACAGGTGCATTTTATGCACCCCTGAAGACAGCAGCAACCATTTATTACAACGTTTTGGTTGCTTTCCCCACTTCCAGAAACCTCAAACCTAAACCTCTCTTATAGCAATGCCAGAGCTGGACCATTCCAGGGATGCCTGTGTTTGTACAGATCAGTATTTTCCAGTCAATAAATAAACAAATACACAAACCCACTGGAAAAATCCCTCACTGTTTCTGGACATTTACTCCCTTCATGAACGTGCTGCTTCTCTGCTGCCAGCTTGGCAGATTCTTGCATGGAGGCTCCACCAGCAACTTCACACCCAGCTCCACGCTTGCAGCAGGCCATCAGCACTCAAATAATCAGTGGCCCTTCCCCACGCTGTAAGCTCACACAGCCTTCGCACCACCCAACAGGAACGTGATTTTTCTGAAGGGGCTGAGCAGAGGACACAACACCCGTGTGCGGTGAAATAAAGACCTGAGGGACTCCCTTTTCCCAGCTCCAAGGCAGCGAGATGCCCTAAGAGCCACCCTTTGCCTCCTGCTTCTGTGAGCACAACACAGGTATCCAATAAGGAATGCCAAAGCTATTACAAACCCAACACCCCAACTCCTTTTACATGGAAAAGCGAGGTGAAAGAGCGAGCCACTCTGATATCCACAGGCAAAGAGTCAGAAAACCCACTCCAGTTTTACACCACACCTCTATGAGCAGGGCAATCCTCACAAGCTGGCCCAAGCTGCTTCCTCAGAGAGGCCTCTGAGTGAGGAAGAGCACCCACACACAGCCCTGCTGCTCACAGGGACACAGCCCTGCTGCTCACAGGGACACAGCCCTGCTGCTCACAGGGACACAGCCCTGCTGCTCACAGGGACACAGCCCTGCTGCTCACAGGGACACAGCCCTGCTGCTCACAGGGACACAGCCCTGCTGCTCACAGGGACACAGCCCTGCTGCTCACAGGGACACAGCCCTGCTGCTCACAGGGACACAGCCCTGCTGCTCACAGGGACACAGCCCTGCTGCTGCCGGGCAGTGCCAGAGAAGCCCAACACCCAGCTGCTGCTCTCGGTAACAGCAGTGCTAATTTTTCATCAGTCTTTTCTGGCCAATCCAGCAACCATTGCACCTGAATGGATGCTGCTTACATTGACCCGGCAAGCAGAGCTCCCGCTGGCCACCCCACGAGCTGCACCATCACAAAGGAATCACCCTGCACAGGACACTTCACATTGGAAGGTACCTCAGGAGATCTCCAGTCCAACCTCCTCCTCCAAGCAGGGTCAGCCCAGACTGCTCATGGCTTTATCCAGCCTGGAGGCATGCTACATCCCTTCATCTAAGAGTCTTTAGCATGTCCTGTCCTCACACCATGCAAATAAGCTGTGGATCCTTTTTTAAAGTAACAAATATTTGTGCAAAAGCCCTAACGCAGCTGCATGCACACAGCTAGGCTGTGTGGGGCAATGCAGCTCTTTGCAGAGCTGCAGAGGAGGTACCCCACAGATGGGAAATGGGATGGGTCTGCGCTGCCTGTCCCCTTCTCACGACTTGTAAGTGCTCATGTGAGCCCACTGAGGTCAAACACCACTGCTGTCTGCTGAGCTGCCTTGAAGGCTTTCATTCCTGCCGAAACCACAAGAAATTCAGGTTAGGTTCAAGCACAAGTAACTGAATATTCATTGTAACCTCAGAGAGGGGAGCCTGCTCTCAGACAGTACAACAAGTGTTTTGCAGAATCACTTTTAGGTAGCAACACACTCATGGGTGGCTTGTAAAGGGAAGAACGCAGCAGGTCTCAACACCTCCAGACGGCCCAATAAGGGCTCCCTGATGTGAAACACCTGGGAGAAAGCAGGGGACCCTCATCAGAACCACTCTAAAGCAGACAGGAAGGAAAAACAAACAGATGAAACATTCATGACTTCTTGTACACCCTAAAAGCCACCACACAACCTACCTCCAAACACCTTTAGT